ATCTCTCACTGACTTCCCACCTGCAACCACATGTTAACAGGAACTCACAACTAAGTCTGAAGCGCCTCTACAGGGAATCAAACTGCGACGTTGGATGGAAGCGACACACGCTGTCCTTAGCGTTTTCCACATAGCACGTACAGTATATCTATGCGTTGATTTCATGGGGTGTGGTTTTGCTCAGCTGTGTCGGTTCACCGAGCAGTGCCAGGTCGAGGTAATTGGCCCACCCGTGGTACGCTGGATAATCAGCCTCTCTCCCTTTTTCACAGCGTCGAAATGGGACCTGAGGCTGCTTTTTCTGAGACCAACCAAACCACAATGCGCAGGAACGCCAAGACTCATATTTTGTGCTCAAAATTTTTGCACAACGAAACACAAAATTCAAAGTGTGGACCCTTTGTGCAAAACAGTCTTTGTTTTCTTCCTGAAGAGGGAAGTCATAACAGGTGCACATTAAAAACCCCCTCTGGTGAAAATGATTTCCTTCCCCTACCTTGTTGCCATGTCCATATGGTGTGTTTTAAAGTCAAATCAAGAACAAAACAAGCAGTCAACACTATGGCTGAGCATTTCTGCCTTGAAACAGCAGCGTTCTGATGAAACACACAGATTCAGACTTTTCTGGAGTTTTATAAGAGTCATGGATGGAACTTTCTGTATTAATTCTTCTACAAAATCAGTTTCTGACTTAAACACATGCGGCTATAGAACTTCAAGCTACAATTCGAGTAGCGCAGAGTGCTTGAGCAGAGTTGTGGGCGAGCTGGTGTGCTCGAGCTGCACCAAATGGGAAGAAATGAGCGGAGAAACTGCACATCCCAGAGGACGCAATGGTGCAGAATTACATCTAAGCCATTTTAAGGCAGGAAGGGATTATTTCAGGGGCTGCAGGGTGGCGCAGTTGGTAGCAGCAAGAAGGTTGCCGGTTCGCGTCCCGGTGGGGGCACCGGAATCTTTGCATGTTCTCCCTGTGCAGCGTGGGTTCTCTTCGGGTTCTCCGGCTTCCTCCCACAAGGTCCAAAAACATGCTGAGGTTATTTGGTGATTGTAAATTGTCCGTAGGTGTGAATGTGAGTGTGCTTGGTTGTCTGTCTCTAAGTGTAGCCCTGTGATAGACTGGTTACCTGTCCAGGTGAACCTGCCTTCACCCGAAGTCGGCTGGGATAGACTCCAGCCCCCCACGACCCTAGTGAGGATTAAGCGGTGTATAGATGATGGATGGATGGATGGATGGGATTATTTCAAGTGAAA